TTTATTTTTGAATTTTTTGGGAGTAATTCTCATATTGGGCAAAAATCACGTGCTTACAATATACATCTACTGGAGTTCAAACATTTTGCCCTGACCTTATTCCTCTCATTTGGCCTCAACTTTAACTGAACTCTTCTTTGTACATCATAGTCTTGTAAAGCAGATCTAAATTGTCTAACATTTTCAAGACCATTTCCAGTTGGAAAACAATTTTCTTATAGTTAGGGTCAAAGTAGACCTTTCTATTGTATCTTCTTGGAGGAAGGTTTTGTGCCTCGTCATCTTCATCTACATCATCATCATTAGTATCTTCACTACCTAGATCTGAACGGTCTAGGTACTGCTTATTCCCTCCCAATTTGCCAACATATTTAACAGTTTTGTCCTTGTAAATGTTTTCAAATCCAGGGTCAATGCCTATTGGGCCACTAGGTAGCTTCATCTAGTATCCCAACCAAAGAAAATTATTCCATTATGAAGAAAAGATAAAATAGAAGAATACTATTCCTACAATAAGAGAAATAACTTTTAAAACTAATTAAAACAAAGCTAATTAAAGTTGGTGTTCTCTGCACAAGAATGGTTCCCCTTTTCAATTGAAGTTTACGTCCGGTTTATAGAGACAAGCACAAGCAAAAATTCCCAAGGATGCCATCCTTGGCCTTAGATGTGGTCTGGGATGTCATCCTTCGTTTGAGTTGCTCAATTTTCTCCAATTGTTTCTCCCACGGATGTCATCCTTGACTTTCTTTCTTTGCGTTTGTATTCTTCTTTCTGATCTTTTTATTTTCCTGCAGTATTTATTTTATTTACACAAATACTGAATAAAAAGTAATATGTTTAGAAATAAAATATTATTTATTTAATATTATATATACTTAAAACATACACAATTTACACTTATCATATACCTAATAGGTTTTAGTTGGTTTTTGCAGATTGGATTGCCACGTTTGTGAAATTGTAATGCACGTGCTATGATTCAACTGTTGAACGTGTTTATTAGTTAACTTATTCTCGAGTTGAAGTGTTCATATAAGAATTTTGAAACTTTATCTACCGGCATGACAATCGGGTGCAAGTTCAACTGGCCAGGAGGCCTTTTTGCCCTTTTTTTTTTTTTTTTTTTTTTTGCATTTTCCTCATGATTATGAAAATTGTACAAATTATATTCAGACTACAACAACTAATACAAACCTATGAGGTAAAAAGAGGAAGAAAAAAAATACCTCCAGAAATTAGATGGAAAAATGTTAAAATCCAACAAAGGAGGAGTCAGAAACACATAAAAGGAGAAAGATCTAATTTTGGGTTTGTACTATTCAAAATTGCTCAATTTTACTCTTGGTTAGACTTTTAGTCCATTTATTCCCTTGTAATTAGCAAATCGATTTATATTTGCCCTTGCCATTAACGAGCTCCAACGTGAAATGGTCAGACTCCATCCGTCAAAAAATTTCAAGATAAAGGTCTAAATATACCTTTGAACTTTTATCTATTGTTTAAAATTACCCTAAGTTTGAAGTTCCATTATGGGTCAAGGGTGTGAGACTTAATGCTAATGGCGAGGTTAAAATTAGACCAAAAATTTAATAGATGGCAAAATTAATAATTGTTTCAGGCAGTATATATGACAAATGTGACCAAGTTCCCAACATAAAATATCAAGAAAACCAATCTTAATTTGTGGCCTAAATTAAGTAATATGATTTTAAACCTATCTATGTTCTTGAAAGAAGTAATTATTCATTAGATGTAAACTTTAACATGTTGCCAAATTGAATATTATAAATAGCTGAATATTTTATAGAGGACATAGGGTATATCAAAAATGCCAGATACTAAATCCAACATCAAACAAAAATTAAAGCAACATCCACATGGTATATGTAATATGTGTAAAAGAAGTTAAAGTTCCCATCTTTAGATCCTTATAATATGCACATAATAATAAAGAAAAAGAAAAGCATGGCTGCGATTGGTCTGGCACTTAAGTTTCTTTTCATAAAAAAATCTGCATTTTATTCATAATTAGAATTCTTAGAAGCCAATTGGGAAAATTAAGTTTCCATGCAAGAAACCTGGCACTTAATTTATTGTTACCTTTTTATCATGACATGGATAACTTTAATAATGTGCTACAACTTTTATCCAAAAATAAAAGATCTTAAAAGATAAGCCAAGTGCATTTAGGGGTCATTTTCTTTAAAAAGATATATATAATAATAACAATAATAATAACAACGAACGAAAGATTATCATGAGTTTATATCATGTTTGGTTAGTCGTATAAGAAAAAATAATTGTCGCATAACTCAATATAATATTTTGTGGCCTCATTAAACTTTGCGTTGCTAATATACACATAAGTTAAATGAAAATTTGTGTATTATTTTATGCACTACATTACAAAGAATGGAGATAGTGGGATGAAAGTGATCCCTCCATCTTTAATTCGATATTTTTGGTTTGAGCTGTGAGAATAGTGAATCTCATATACTAATGACTAAAACTAAAAAATAATTCCTACATTAAACTATTCCTAGTCTAGTCACTCATTCACATCACTATACTTTCTTTTCTACTCTTACTTAATTGTTCCCTTAACTTTAGTCTTTTTCTATCACATGATGCATCTCTTTTTTCCACACACAATAATACATCAATAAACATGAGGAGATCTATTGATTAAACAATTCAGGAGAATTTACTGCAATTGAACTATATATGTTAGTACCTCAAAGAATGAAAAGCATAAACTCTTCTTTAATTTCCTAAATACATCAGTAGTTCATGTATTACTTCAAAATATCAAGAACTTAGAGTTATTTTTTAGCTCATTTGCAGCCATGAAATTACTGAATATCATTATATTTTTCTGCATATTTGGCTGTATATTATGGCCTAGTATGCAGATCAACCTAGAGACTTACATAGTTCAAGTTGAATCTCCAGAAAACAAAATTTCTACTCAATCTTTATCACATGATCTTGAGAGTTGGTACCAATCTTTTTTGCCAAATACAATATCAAGTACAAGCTCAAATGAAGAATCGCGGTTAATATATTCATATCATAATGTGATGAAAGGTTTTGCAGCAAGATTATCAGCAGAGGAAGTGAAAGAAATGGAGAAGAAACCAGGCTTTGTATATGCATGGCCAGAGAGGATATTGTCTTTACACACTACACATACCCCGAGTTTTCTTGGATTGCAGCAGAACATGGGAATGTGGAAGGATTCAAACTATGGAAAAGGTGTGATTATTGGAGTTTTGGACAGTGGGATATTTCCTGATCATCCTTCGTTTAGCGACAAAGGAATGCCTCCTCCGCCTGTTAAATGGAAGGGAAAGTGTGAATCGAACTTCAGTACGAAATGCAACAACAAGCTCATTGGCGCGAGGACATTTCCTCAAGCCAATGGTTCGCCAATAGATGATGACGGACATGGTACACACACTGCAAGTACTGCTGCTGGAGGTTTTGTGGAAGGTGCTAATGTGTATGGAAATGCTAATGGCACTGCAGTTGGGATTGCCCCTCTTGCTCATCTTGCCATTTATAAGATTTGCGATTCTTTTGGTTGCTCTGACAGTGGTATTTTAGCGGCTATGGATGCAGCTATTGATGATGGAGTTGATATCTTATCCCTTTCCGTTGGTACAAGTACAAGTCCGTTCCATAATGATCCGATTGCACTTGGCGCGTATAGTGCAACACAAAGAGGTATTCTTGTTGTTTGCTCTGCAGGTAATAGTGGTCCATCCGAAAGCTCGGTTCTAAATGAAGCACCATGGATTCTCACAGTAGGAGCAAGTACTCTTGACAGGAAAATTAAGGCTACTGTTCAGCTCGGGAACAAGAAAGTATTTGAGGGCGAGTCGGCCTTTCATCCAAAGGCTTTTAGTACAAAATTCTTCCCTTTGTTTGATCCTGCACTAGATGGAAGTGAGTTTGACAGTTCTTATTGCGGAACAGGTACACTGACTAACCCTGCTATTAAAGGCAAAATAGTCTTGTGTATGGTAGGTGGTGGTTATTCCAGGATTGTAAAAGGACAAGCAGTTCAGGATGCTGGAGGTGTTGGCATGATTCTAATAAATAGCATAGATGATGGTTTTACGACATCAGCTGATGCTCATGTTCTTCCAGCTATGGATGTAACTTATGATGATGGAATGAAAATCACTGAGTATATGAACTCAACAAAAAAATCTATTGCGCGTATTACATTGCAAGGAACTATTATTGGAGACAAAAATGCTCCAATTGTTGCTGGTTTTTCTTCCAGAGGACCAAGCATAGCTACTCGCGGAATTTTAAAGCCTGATATTCTTGGTCCCGGAGTTAACATTCTTGCTGCTTGGCCTACTTCTGTTGAGAACAACACTAACACAAAATCTACCTTCAACATAATTTCCGGTACCTCTATGTCATGTCCTCACCTCAGTGGAGTTGCAGCATTGCTTAAAAGCGCACATCCCACTTGGTCTCCTGCAGCTATTAAATCAGCAATCATGACAACTGCTGATACAGTCAACCTCGCCAACAATCCTATCTTAGATGAAATGCTCCGTCCTGCTAGCATCTTTGCCATTGGTGCAGGACATGTCAATCCATCAAGAGCAAATGATCCAGGACTAGTTTATGATACCAAATTCAAGGACTACTTGCCTTATTTGTGTGGTTTGAATTACACAAATCGCGAAGTTGGAAACCTTCTACAACGTAAGGTGAATTGCTCGGAAGTGAAAACTATTCCTGAAGCACAACTGAATTATCCTTCATTTTCCATCACATTCGGAACACATTCTCAGACATATACAAGAACAGCGACTAACGTCGGGGAGGCTAAATTTTCTTACAATGTGGAGATAGTTTCACCACCAGGAGTTTCTGTGACTGTTAAGCCTTCTATTCTAAAGTTCTCGAAGTTAAACCAGAAAAGGTCATATCAAGTGACTTTTTCAAGAACAGCCAATAGTTCAACCAGTGGTGTAGTTCAAGGATTCTTGAAATGGACTAGTAATAGGCATTCCGTAAGAAATCCAATTGCAGTTGTCTTAGAAGAAACTGCAACATTGGATTTTTAGTCTCTTTTCCTTTTAATAATAAGTCTGCCTTACTGGTTTGTTTGACAATGTTGAATGAGTGCAGACACCCACATTCTATTATACTAGTGTTACTTTCTTTTCAGTAAGGGTAACCCGGTGCACTAAGCTCCCGCTATGCGCGGGGTTCAGGGAAAGGTCGGACTATAAGGGTCCATTGTACGCAGTATTACCCTACATTTCTTCAAGAGGTTGTTTCCAGGATTCAAACTCGTGACCTCCTGTTACTCCGAGGCTCCCCTTCTATTACTTCCTTTTCGCTGTGGGCTAATATTTCTACTTCATTCTTTTACTTTATTTCTGTAATGGTTTTCTACATCTTTTCAGTTTATGTGAAGTTCACAACATCAGTTCTATTTTCTTAATCGTCAGTAATATTTTTTATACTTCGACTTATTTTAGTTACTTCGTTGTATATTGAATTGATTGCTTATATCCTTCATCTTTAGCTGCATCCAAATTTATATTGATTCTAATTTACTTGTATGTTCTAGTTTATGAAACATTCTTTTAATTTTGATATATATTTCAAAAGGTTTGATATCATTTACTTGAAAAGTAAATTATTTGTGCTTGTAATATGGCTCAAGTATGGATACACTTTCTGCATTTTTAATCAGGCACTTAGATTCTGGATTAAAGGCCTATATAAATTTACAGCTGCACGCCATGTCTTCTAAAATCACACACTCAAATTTACAGCTGCACGCTATCCTTGATTGTCATGCTAAGACCGTGATGTTGGCGATACCGGGGGTGCCTAGGTTAAAGTGGAGAGGCTCCCTGGATTATGTTCCTAGTTGGGTAATTTCACATCTGAAGGCTCAACGGATATTTGAGAAGGGATGTTTGACATATTTGGCCTTCGTGAGGGATGTTAGTGTTGATGCTCTTACCGTTGAGTCAATTACGGTAGTGAGGGACTTCCCATATGTATGTCCAGCAGACTTGCCGGGCATGCCACCCGACAGGGACATCGATTTTGATATTCACTTGGTGTCAGGCCCTTAGCCCATCTCTATTGCACTGTATCATATGGCACCAGTGGATATGAAGGAATTAAAGGAACAACTTCAAGAGTTGCTTGACAAGGGTTTTATTAGACCGAGTGTCTCGCCTAGGGGTGCTCCAGTTCAATTTGTGAAGAAGAAAGACGGTATTATGCAAATGTGTATTGATTACAGGCAGCTGAACAAAGTTACAGTCAAGAACAAGTACCCTCTATCATGCATTGATGACTTATTAATTTCTATTATATATGGAATGTGTATGATTACATCAGTAAGAGTTTAAGTTATAAGAGGGATGTATTCATGATACAGTAACTTTTATAGACTGAAGCAAAAGATGATTGAAAAGCAAAATGTATTTAAAAATGACCCTTTGAATTAGACTAATCATAGAATCTAATAACATATTATCACATGCTTATTGTAAAAGGATGAAATTATTAGAAAGAGAAAGCAAATAGACATCCAAACTTGCAGTTTTACTAGACTAGCACAACTGCAATTGGACTTCGTACAGAGTGCCTATTACTAGTCCATTTCAAGAATCCTTCAACTACATCACTGTTTGAGCTATTGGCTGTTTTGGAAAAGGTCACTTGGTATGTCAACTTCTGGTTCAACTCGGAGAATGTTAGAGTAGAGGGCTTAACCATCACGGAAACTCCTCGTGGTGAAACTATCTCTACATTGTAAGATGATTTAGCATCGCCAACATTGGTTACTGTTCTAGTATATGTGTGAGTATTTGTTCCCAGTGTGATGGAAAATGACGGATAATTTAGTTGTGCTTCAGGAATACTTTTCACTTCCGAGCAATTGATCTTGCGTTGTAGAAGGTTTCCTACCTGTCGATTTGTGTAATTCAAACCACACAAATAAGGTAAGTAGTCGTCGAATGGGGTGTCATAAATTAGTCCCGGATCATTTGCTCTTGATGGATTGACATGTCCTGAACCAACGGCAAAGATATTAGCAGGAAGGAGCCTTTCGTCTAAGATGGGATTGTTGGCGAGGTTTACTGTATCAGCAGTTGTCATGATTGCTGATTTAATAGCTGCAGGAGACCAAGTAGGGTGTGCGCTTTTTAGCAATGCTGCAACTCCACTGAGGTGAGGACAAGACATGGAGGTGCCAGAAATAATATTGAAGGTAGATTTTGAGTTTGTGTTGTTCTCTACAGAAGCAGGCCATGCAGCAAGAATGTTAACACCAGGACCAATAATGTCAGGCTTCAAGATTCCAGGACTAGCCATGCTTGGTCCTCGAGAAGAAAATGAAGCAACCATTGGTGCATTTCTATCTCCGATTATCGTTCCTTGAAACGTAATTCTAGCTACTGGTTTCTCTGTTGAATTCATATAGTCAAGAATTTTCATTCCATCAGCATAAGTAACATCCAGGGCAGGAAGGACATGAGCATCGGCTAACGTAGTAACACCATATTCTAGCCCATTGTAGATGATCATGCCAACACCTCCAGCATCCTTTACTGCTTGTCCTTTTCCAATCCTTGTATAACCACCACCT